GTGGGTGTAAATGAGTGAGTGAGGAGTTAAAAGCCAGACTGTACCAGGTGTTATAATATATTTGACTAACTAAACTACATTTACCTTCCACTCAATTTATGTATCTGTAACTCAAAAATGCTTCAAATTCACTTTCAAATCACCTGGCAATGTCCATCTGTAGTAAACTTTTAAACTTTATGGTTTCAAGTTGCCTTAAAGATTTCCAATTGCAAACGCGATCAGATGGTATTGGTAGATCGGTCACAACAGACACAATGACCTCTTTGCCCAGTCGAAGATTGTTTCAACAATAATGTGGGAAGAAGATGGCTGCCAAACCATGTGATAAATACGAAAAGACTCACAAACTTTATTTATACCTACAAGTATATGTAAAATGTACCGTACTTCTTTACCAGAGAGAATATTTTTAATTAATGTAATGTTCAATCTTCCATCACTTCCTCCTACATCTCATGATTTAATAGTGTATTTAGATGAACGAGCAATTTTTCGGTTTCACGCGGAGAAAAAATCAACAAACAAAGTACTGAGGGTTTATCTTTTTAATTAATTGAAGATAGGCAGATGCTTCGTGATTCAAATTTGACTGTCCAAAAATTAGAACTATATAGGGTCATTGCTCTCAAGTAAAAATTTTTGATCAAGTAACATTGTCGAAGAGATCGAAAATAAAAATACTACTATTATTAATGGTAGTTCTAACAAAAATATAGCGAAAATATTATATTTCTGAATAAAAGAGCACCGTGTGTCTTTTTTTGTTTTATTAGAAGCATACGTGCTAAAGGAAGCAGGAAGTGCATGATGGAATGAAAATATCAATGTGGATATTCCATGTCCATATGACTTCAATAGTAATACACTAATGTACACGACGATGGTATATCAATTGGAAAGGATAACTGTGAATGGATTTGGAAAATTAGAGACGAAAAGAGGGTGTGTGCGCGATCCTTGCCAATCGTATCATACGGACCATTTCTCCATTGAAGAGAGCATTTCTCACACCGCAAGGCAGTGTAAGAAATTCCAGACATCGGAATGATTGAATGCAATTCGAATCCCACTTCCAATTTTTCTAATCTGGTATTGATTTTACATTTTTCTTGAAATAATGATTACTATTACTTCAGCTGAAAATAATTTCGATCCATTTCGAGCACAAGGCTCTCTCCAAGTTTTCCTGTTTGGAACCCTAGTCCAAGGAAATACCATAATCATTGACTTTTTTATTTGTAAGTTACAATTTTCGTTGATTTAATTGCATAGATCATCCATTTGTGTCAGTTTCCAATTTGGAACATTCTGCTTCTTCTACTATAATGCTGGCAGTATATAGCTAGCTGGACATTTCTATCAATTGCAAAAATCGGCCTTATTGATTTTCACTGTGATTGAAGTTATTTTCGTGGTGATTGAAGCCAACTCATACTAACCAATACCAACACATCAAAGTTAATAGTACACTGAATATTATTTAGTAAAAGTCAAGTCATGCTCAAAGCATTGGCCACTTTTCAATTCCACTCTTCTGGTGGGGCTCATCGTTAGCGCCTGAATTCTGCCAAGGAAGCATCTCTATCACACGCCAAGGCGACTGAACTTTAAACAAACTGAATAATCAAAGGTCGCATTTAAGAAGTTGGAAAGATGGACAAAATATTTCCCTCTAAAACCACTTCAAGTAAATCGATCGCTCCAAATGCTGTGTAATTCATCCTTGAAATTCTGATCAATTAAAATTGTAGATTCGCAGCATTGCATTTTGTTTATCTAAAGTTAAGCGGCCATTTAATTGAAGTGTTAGAGATCGGACTGTTGAGAAGAGCGCCGCTGCAATGGAATCATTCAGAATAAAAGGAGCCAAGGAAATTGCAACTCTCATTGATGGGCAGGTAATAAAATTGTAGACATTTAGACATTTGTGTTCAAGATTGCCCACTTGTTCAATGGAATGTATAGGTTAGACGAGAGTTGCGCACTCCAAAATAAGATGCATATGTACTTTAACCATTTGTTCAAATGGTTCCAAATTTGCTCAATGGTGGGGTCTACTTTATGATCGAAGAACTGAATGCGATTTTTCAGTATTTGTTATTTCTATTGCTCACTTGTCTAATGTTAATTTTCATCCTAGTCTAACTTCTTCACCTTCTTTATTGTGTATGAGTAGGTGGAGCGAAACCGTCATCACGAGGCAAATATGATCCAATATAATTAATACCTTTCGAGTGAAAGCCAGTTTAACGTTGACAAATATGTGGCAATTTTTTGATCCAACCCTTTTTTGTGTTCTTAGCTAACAAAGTCCAAGAGCTACATGAACTTGCCAACTCCAACACAAAGATGTCTAGACCTGGTGGTGAGCCATTTGCAGGAAGCACAATGCTTTGGACTGAAGAAAGGGAGGGGAGTGGGTGAGAGTGGAATGCGTCTTTCATTTTCGCCGCCGGCTTTATGGGCAAAAGTGCAGGAAATGAGAAAGAGGAAATCCGAGGGAGGTATTGGCACCGCACTTACGAGAGATGCTATTTCCCACGCATCAGCAGGGAAGCGGAGTGCGAAGGAGGGTGGAGAGACGGTTTATAGAGTTGGTGGAGATGGCCATTCTCTTTCCGCTCCGGTGATCGCATGCTCAGACAGGGATAACGAGTTCGGTGAAGGCGCTCGATGCAACACTCGCAATTTGGGCTCAATTCGATTGTTCGATGAGCACTACAGCCAGGAGTACTATATAGGCTGTGGCGTCTCCTGTGAAGCGTAAAAAGGCACTGTCAAGTCGGCGAAAGGCGGTGAAAAGGCAGGCTGTGGAAACAAACGACAGGAAGGATAAGTACGTCACTCTCAAGTGGCTATATGCGAAATTCACCGACGGCGTGTCACCTCGTGGCATACGCTTGAGAGAGACGGAGATTCTCTCAAAAATCAGTCATCCCAATATAATTGAATACATTGAAACAGTGGTTTCTCACCAGGGGCGTATTTGTTTGGTCCTCGAATACGTGGAGCACTCATTCGAAGACATTATCGCTTTCTCCAGAGATTCGCCTTACACCTTCAGTGACTCCCGTGTGCGCTTCTTCATGAGGCAACTTCTCTCTGGCATTGCCTATCTCCATGCTCGACGAATCATACATCGCAACGTGAAGCCAAGTAATTTGCTAGTCACCGACACCGGCATTCTAAAGATTTGCGACTTCNCTCAAGTGGCTTTATGCGAAATTCACCGACGGCGTGTCACCTCGTGGCATACACTTGAGAGAGGCGGAGATTCTCTCAAAAATCAGTCATCCCAATATAATGAATACATTGAAACAGTGGTTTCTCACCAGGGGCGTATTTGTTTGGTCCTCGAATACGTGGAGCACTCATTCGAAGACATTATCGCTTTCTCCAGAGATTCGCCTTACACCTTCAGTGACTCCCGTGTGCGCTTCTTCATGAGGCAACTTCTCTCTGGCATTGCCTATCTCCATGCTCGACGAATCATACATCGCAACGTGAAGCCAAGTAATTTGCTAGTCACCGACACCGGCATTCTAAAGATTTGCGACTTCTGTCACGCAATTGAATGCGATTCCACGCAGTTTCGAAACACAAATGATTTTGGCTCTCTGTGGTACTTAAGCATCGAGCAACTACGCGGTAAGCTCATTTCCTCCTATATTACGCTTAGTTTCGGTGGAGTTGCTTTGGCAAGACATCCAACTCACTGCCTTTCTTTCCACAGGTTGCGAGGAGTACACATCTGCAATCGACGTGTGGTCAGCTGGGTGTGTACTTGTGGAGATGATAACGCAAAGACGTCTTTTTCAATTTGCCACTGAGTGCGAGATGATAAGGGGCATTTTGAGGATCTGTGGAAAACCGACAGAGAGTGTGTGGCCGGGCGTGAGTGGATTGCGCGGAATGCAATTGGAGGAATTACCCGACACGCACACTAGCCATTTGAGAAGTAGCCTTGGTCGTGCGGTCTCTGATGTCACCTATCATCTCCCTCTGAGCACATCTCACTCACTTCGTGCACTTTTTCAATGAGCTCTAGCATCGAATCGATAGAACTCATTCCAATGTTACCCAATTACCTGCTTTTCTCCGTTCCAAACCATTGTGATTCCTGCAAGTAGCTCCCCACCAGTTTTAGACTCCTCCTTTTCGTGGTCGAGTTCGCAAGTTCACGCAGTTCGTGGATTTTGGTAGCTGGAACACAACAAAAGGTGGGATTAACAAATTGCAACAGATTAGCTGGCATTCACTCAAATGGTATTAATTATGAAATTGCGTAATTCTTTATATTGGGTCGCATTTTGCCTCGTGCTGACAGTTTCGCTCCACCAACTCATTCGAAATCAAGAAACTGAAGAAGTTGGACTACAATGCTAATGAACAGTAGCCAAGTGGGCAATAGAAATAACAAATGCTGAAAAATCACATTCAGTTCTTCGATCATTCAGTAGACCCTGCAATGAGCAAATTTGGAACCATTTGTTTAAAGCACATATACATCTTATTTTGGAGTGCGCAACTCTCGTCTAACTTATACATCCCAATGAACACGTGGACAATCTTGAATACAAACAACTAAATTTCTACAATTTTATCACCTGCCCATCAATGAGAGTTGCAATTTCCCTGGCTCTTTTGCAAACAATACTTGGCACAATTTCTACTAAATATGTCCAGATGACATTATCAAGCAATGCCAATATTCTTACTTTATTTCCGAATAACTCCATTGCAACGGCACTCTTCTCGACAGACGCGATCTCTAACTCTTCAATTAAATGGCTCTTTAACTTTAGATAAACAAAGTGCTTATTGTCCAAGTGACTCAGCCATGTACAAAAGTTCATTGCTTTTCACAATAAATACCTAATTTCCAATGTGTAATTTTAATTTAATTTAAAATTAATATTATAAATTTCTTGGATTTCTTCACACAATTTTTCTTGAAATTTTGCAGAGTCCATTGGGTGCATTTTAATTCCCATGCTTTTATGACATTCACGTCCGGTTGGTCACTTAATTGCACAATTGCACAAATTCATATTGACATCTAAAATCAATTATCAATCATTTGAAAGCAATATTTCGAACACTCACAATTTGGCTGTTCAAGTTGTTTCCTTTCTGATACGAATTTCAAACCATATATCCAAATTTCAAAATACTCATCAAGTACATAGATTGTCCATCTAATGTGGACAGTTCTGAATACAATGCTGCGAATTTACAATTTAATTTGATCAGAATTTCAAGGATAATTTACACAGCATTTGGAGCGATCTATTTTCTTTAAGTGTTTTTATGAGGGAAATATCTTGACCATCTTTCCAACTTCGTAAATGCGACCTTTGATTATTCAGTTTGTTTAAAGTTCAGTCACCTTGGCGTGTGATAGAGATGCTTCTTTGGCAGAATTCAGGCGATAACGATGAGCCCCACCAGAAGAGTGGAATTGAAAAGTGGCCAGTGCTTTGAGCATGACTTGACTTTTACTAAATATTAGGGTGGCAACTAAGTCATTGTCGATTTCAAATAAGAAGGCAAA